CCAATCATAAAATATGCACTTTTCATAGGAGACGAGAGAGAAAACAAGAATCAATCCCAGGAGAATAGGAAACTTCTTCCTATTGAAGTTCTGTTTTGGTCACGTTAATCAAACATATTCGGTAAGTCCTTTGTTTTGTTTTTTGTTTTAGTTGGTTTGCATTTCATGCTCTATCCAGTTTGCACTTTATTAAGGCCAGGAGGCTTTCTTTATCTCTGGTAGATGGATGGCTTTTTTCACCTTCAGTTTGTGTGTTGAGTAGTGAATTTGGATGGGATTTCTTTGATGGGAGGATTTAGGTGTTTGAATACACGGGGAATCAAGTAAAATGTGATGCCCAGTTGCTGTCAAGTCCTTGGTCCCTAATTCCTGGCCATTCTGACAGTAGGGATTAAGAGCTGTAGTGGTGGATTTGCACTCATAGCACTCATGTTTTCCTTTGCCAGGACTAATGTAGATCTGGCCAAGCTGAGTGAGTTGTTCAGCACCTTCAGCTCTGTGCTGCAATACCGTGCTGTTGTTGTGGAGGCTTTTGGGGAGATGAGGCATTTCACAGTCGATGACAGCGTCCTCTCCAGCAGGGAGCTGCTGCTGCTGCAGAAGTGGAGCCTTGTCAGCACAGAGCTGCAGCTGCAGGAGGACCTGCAGGCCCTGGCTCAGAAGGGCCAAAACAAAGAATTGCTCAGTAAGTGCTGAAATACTTCAAGTAAAGCGTATTTTGTTGTAGCTGTTGCAGGCCAGCAGTTCAAATGAGGCAAACTTCTCTGGAAGTAGTACTAACACCTTCTGCCTGACTGATGTACCTTGGGGGAGGAGGAAAGGAAATGGAAAGGCATTTTTCAGATCTTCCTTGTGGTGATTTTGAACCTTACCACACTATGTATTTGTATTTTGGGTATTCAATACTTGTATGGATAAAAAGACTCTGTAATCACCTGGAAGCTGCAGTGTGTATTTGGGAGTGATCCCGCACACAATAAACACACACTTTCTAACTTTAAACTCTTAGAGAGTTTTTGTCCATCACAGTTGGATATAGGTACTAGATCAATCTCCATATTTTTTTAATAAATCAGAAGCTACTGTGCTTTAGGAAAGTTACGGCCTTTTGCATTTCTGGAATTTGGTGGGATGAATCCCATGACTGGAGTGTCACTACTGAGAGCTACAGCCTGGTCAGAAGATACAGGGGAGGAAGGAGAGATGGAGGGATTGCCCTCTACATCAAGAAGTGGATTCCACGTGAGGAGCTGTGTTTGCAGAACAGCCATGAGCAAGTCAAAAGCCTGTAGGTAAGAATCAGTGACCAAGGCAGCCAAGGAGCCCTGTGGATAGTATCTACTACAGGCTGCCTGAAAAAGGGGATCCTGCTGACAAAGGCTTCTTTCTAAAGCTACAGGAAGCATTGTGCTCGTTGGCTTTCGTCCTGCTGGAGGGCTTCAACCACTGCGCAGTGCAGATCCTTTCTTGACAGGTGACTGAAACAGAGTTCCAGTGACCTTCTCAGTTAAGGTCTGTCACATGCAAAGAAATGCTGCTTTTGGCATCACTAGAAATTAATGCCAGCTGTAGATATGACAAAACCACAAGTGTCTTGCCCACTGAAAATTTTGAAAGAAAGCTGACTGTCTTCAGCAAGATTTAGGATCAAATGCAAAGAGCCACATATCTCTTACCTGATTAATTTCATAGCCACGATTTTGTGTCTTTTGGCTCTTCACATGGATAGTCTTAAGCCGTACTTTGTCATCATTTGGTCAGCTCATGAGGTTTTTTAGTTTTAAAAAAGGCAGAGAAACTGCAACTATCTATCTTTGAGTAGAGGAGCACATACAAAATGTCAGGGTGAAAGATTACTCATATCAGCAAGGACAAGGCAGGTATTGAAGGAGACTGTTGAAGGAGAGGTAAAATCTTAAATGCTAAAACTGAAGACAGAGCATCACTAAGTCAAATAAAAGATTTGTCTATTTGCTTTTAAACTGATACAAAGCAAGATGAAGTACATTATTAAAACTACTTCAAATCTAGTAAAAAATCTGCTGAGGTGTGCATTAAGACAAAGGTGGAAGTTTACAAGTTACAAATGCTTAAGACACTTCTTGCTAGGGATAGATAGCATTGCATCAGGCAGTTTGCTATTCCAACCATTCTTGAAAGATTTGCATCTCAAAAAGATATGGCATATGAATTCTTAAATTAGACCAATAATGACACACACCCAAAAAAGAAAAACATTCTCTCTTCTCCCTTTCTTTTCTGCTTTCTTGTCATAGAGTGTGACTAAGGAGAAACTGAAAGAATCCACGAGTGACAGAGCTGATTCCAATCAATCCTCCCTGATGGAGTGATCAAAGGCCAACTGTAGTGGACAAAATAGGGCTTTACCCTCTGAAGTATATTTCATCCTGTTGAGATCAGCACAAACACAAGGGATGAAACTGATGTCCCACGGCTGCCATCCAAGCTATGACACTGTAACTCAGTACCACCTGCAAATTTTTTTTCTTGAATCCTTAAAGTAATGATTCTCTCCATCTGCATCCCTTAAAATCCAATTCTGTCAGCTTTTCAGTGTTCAAAAATGAACTAGTTAAGATAGCACTGAGGAAAAAAAGAACAAAATAAACATATTTTATTGTGTAAGTAGATTTGAGATGGAATTACTTAAAGGTAAGTACACATGGACCCCCCCGACAGAGTTCTCTTTTTTCAGTTGCACTTAAGGATTGTACTTCAAATATGGTTACACAGATATCTTCCCCCCCTCCATGTTGACTGCCTCTTAATATTAGAACCTAATCTGCCACAAAATTGCATGAAATAAAACAGTGAGAAATATACTTGAGAATGACTGTTGTTTACAAAAAAGGTAATTTATAGTATACAATTACTGATAAGGTAGAACAAGAGTTCAAAAACTGGACTGCATTACAAAGCACTTCTTCAAACATCAATTTTTTATTATTGCTGTAAGGTACTAACTGGTCTGTTCTAGACTAATTTACAGACATTCAGAAAATAGTGAAAAATGCATGCTTTAGAAACCTGGGACATTTCATGCCTTTGTGCTAGCAGAACATGAAAATGGAAGTGATTGGCATTTTTCAATGTAGGTTAGTAGCATTTAGAGTTTTTATTCTGCTGTACTAACTGATTCTTGATATTTTTTCTCATTTTTTTCAGGTGATTTTTCATCTTCAGGTTTCGTCCATGGAGGGCTTTGAAACTTCTGCAAAGGTCAAAACATGGTGTATAGAATACATATAAGCAGAAATAAAAATTGTGTTAGAATTCCATGGCAATGGAATTGCCCCTAGAAAAGGGTCCTGATCTCTATTAAAGAAAGCATAATTAACAACCTTCACAGTGCAAAACCATACAAGTATGATGCTACATACAGCTTCATATCACTGCATATTATATGTATATAAACAACCATATATGTATTTAATATTTAATTATTTTGGAAATTTTTCCTTACTCGTGCTTCCAGGGTTATACACATCGCACTGTCAAATTAAGTAATTTGACTACTAATTCATTTGACTACCAGCTTTCCGAATATTTCTTAGTTTGCAAATTGTTACCAGCCAGAAAACATTTTGAACAGATCAATTGCAATCAGACACAG